AAAAAAAAAAAAAAACTACAAAAACTACTATGAACTCCCAAATATGAGACTAAACGACCCCAAAATTGCGTTTACAACTTTTAGAAAACTGAATCGAGAGGATAAATCAAAGGATTTTTTAAATAATCCTCTTGATTAAATGATTTTTGAAGATGGTATACAGTTAGTTGCCAAATGAATAAGAAATCGTGGTGAGTTGTTATTAATGTTGAAACGTTGTGATAAATATCATTATAAAATTTCAACAAATGAATAAGATGGTATACAGTTAGTTGCCAAATGAATAAGAAATAATATTTTTAGCAAAAACGTATTCAATAGACGCTTTTTTAAAGAGAGATCAATTTTATCATTCAATAAACGTCTATATGGGTAATGATAATGTCTGTAAGACAATCGGGATATGTTCAATCCATCTGAAAATCGCGACGGATCCTCCATAATTTTGACGAATGTTGTATGGTTGGTTACCAAAAGAATAATAAATTCAAGTGATTCGTAATTAATACGAAGAATAGAATTTTTATTGTGACTACCACAAATAATTTTCAAAATTGATACCACTTTATTTATGAAGAAAGTCATTCTATTAACCTAATTACATGGTTTACAACATTGATAACACTTTATTTATATAGAAAGTCGTTCTATTAACCTAATTACACGATTTACAGCATATAGGTGTAATTTGATTGTCATTTTATTATTTATAAATATTAAAATAATTCTATTAACCTAATTACACGATTTACAACATATAGGTATAATTTGATTTTTATTTTATTATTTATAAATATTAAAATAATTTTAAAAAAAAATCTGTAGACCATAAATGATTTAAAATTATTCACAATCACGTGAAGAAAGAATCTCATGTAAAATTTGAAATTCAATTCAAATTACTACTGTAACATTAAAAAATTGATTCGGATTTTTAGCTGGATTTCTAAACTAATGTGTGGACCATAAATGATTTTTAAATATTCAAATCCAACATTTTAAGAAAATGATCACAAAATATAAATTTTCAACTATATTTTCATAATTGGTAAGTCAAACATTTGACTCATTTTTTTAGATTTCCACAATTGATTTTACCATCAACCTCTTTCAATATATAGATATAGATTTCAATCTAGCAGGTAATTAGTGTTTTTGGCTGATAATATTTTCTAAAATTGAATTAACATTATTCTTATTATTCATAGATAGACGTTGTAATAAGATTTTATGTTTAACTAAATTCCCAAGTGTTTGTGATACTCGAATATTTGTGATTCTACGTCTCAAATATCTCTTCAATATTGGTAACATAACCATTGTTAGAATAATTGGAGATTCTTGAATATCTACAAATCTTGTAGATCCAGTAACTACTGATATTACAATGAATTAATCCCTTAATATAGTTGCATTATGCTAATGACAAAACGGGTAGAAAATGAACTACTTTATTGATTTTTTATGATATTAAGTCTATTAAATTAAAATAAAATATTATTTCTTAAAAATGAACAAATAAATCTACAAATCTATCTTTACTGTTGACACTTAAATGTATTCTTCTAATCTAATTTTCGTGTTTGAAATTCGGAAGGTTAAAAAGAGTTGTAATGTTTACAAAATGGTTGATGTCTATCACAATTTTCACCGATTTGTTACCTTATAATCAATGCAATGTCAATGGATTCACGTGACATTCCAAAAATTTAATTGTATCTTATAATTAACAAAACACTTCTTTCATAATATGTATCCTTGGATATTTGGGATTTTTTATATCAAATATATCATTATTTTTGCTTAAGATAATTATCAAATATTTATTTTTCTAAATGTATATTTAAAGTTAAAATCATTGCTCTAAGATTTGTAACAATTTGTTGACATTGTATAAAAAATACAGATTATTATTGTTCAGATTTTTGTGTGAAATTATTGTTTCAGATTTTATGTGGAGATCACCTCATTGTATAAAGAATATAGATTATTGTTGGTTCAAATTTTTGTGTGGAAATCACCTCCCAAACAGTCCGGTCTTTCCTAAAAAAAAAGATGTATAATTAGCATATAAAAGTGATTTGAATATATTAAAATGAATAATAACGGATTTCCACTTAATTATCACACGTGATTTTCAACAAATTACTTAGATTAGTAAGTCAAACATTTGACTTATTTATTTTAGCTTTCCATAAATGAACTTGGCATCAACGTTTTTCAATATATATAGATTATCCAATGTATAGTATACTTTTTTGTCTGAAAAGCGCAGGCTATTGGCTTTTAAGTGTGAGTCTCAATTTTTATAACAATTTTTTGTATGAAATGTTCATAACTCCGACAAAATAATATAAACAAATACATTGAAATAATGTGCGTGTATTGATAGGTCGAGAAATGTGCGTATTTTATATATTTAAATATGTATTTTTATACACTTAATTTATTTGCATGTTTATATTTTTCGACTTATTTATTATTTGGATGGATTTGTCTACTTTGATTATTTTATATTTATTTTTAGCACAGTGGAGTATTTTGTGGACGTGAAGCCGTTAACGAGAATTCATGTGAGCTATAATTGAGGTGTCCCAGTACAAGAAAATTTGGGCTCAATGATGGAGTTGATTAAAAGAAGCCAAGAGGACATTAATTATCAAGCCCATTTTCATTATTAAGTGTTGTTCCTGGTTGTAGTCCGAAATGGGATCGCAAAGCCGGGAAACGGAGGGGATTAATTAGGCCGGCAAAATTCAAAACTAGTCCTATAATTTGGCCACTGTCCAAAAACTCACTCTGTAATTGACCACTTTAAATTTGGGTCTAATAACTTGCCAATTTCATCAATTTTGGTTCCTTTTTATCCTGTGGCGTGACATGGCGCACAATCATATTTACTTACAATTTTTGGGTGTGTTGTGGCACTCTCAGTGTCAAGTGGAAATAAACTTAGATTAAATAAAAATATTAAAACAAAAAAATTAACTTTGACCGAGTGAAAATGGCACCTAGATTAATTTTTTCTTTAAAAAAAATAGAAAAATGGGTT